TCAGCCTCCCAAATTGCTGGGATTACGGGCATGAGCCACCGTGCCCAGCCCTTTTTTCCTAGTTTCTTGATGTAGAAGCTTAAATTATTGATTTGGGACATTTCTTCTTTCCTAAAATAAGTATTTAGTACTACAGATTTCCCTCTAAGCATTGCTTCAGCCCCCTTCCAGATGATGACATGTTGTATCAAGGTCATTTTCATTCAGCTAAGATTATTTTCTAATTTTTCTTGGAATGTCCTCTGTAACCCCTGGATTATTTAGGAGAGTGCTGTTTAATGCCAAGTGATTGGAAATATTCCTGTTACCTTGGTTATTAATTGCTAGTTTAGTTCCATAAGGTCCGAGAATATATTATATATGGTTTCAATTTTTTTAATGTGTTAAGATACGTTTTATGACACAGAATACTGTATACATTGGTAAATATTCCTGGATTCTTGCAATATATGTGAATACTGTTGTTGATGGGGTCAGTGATCTACAAATGTCAATAGGATCCATGTGGTTGATGGGTTCCTCAGTTCTTCTACATCCTTGCTGATCTTTGTCTACTCATCCTATTTCTTACCATGAGAGGAATTTTGAAATCTCCAACTACGATTGTGGATTTATCTGTTTTCCTTTTCAGTTGTATCAGTTTTTGCTTTCTGTATGTATAATTTCTACTGTTAGATGTATACACATTTATTGTTATGTCTTCTTGGTTACAAAACCCTTTAATCAAAATATATCCCTGCTAATTTTCTTTGCTCCGAAGTCTACTTTGCCTGACATTACTATAGCCACTCTAGCTTTCTTTTGATTTATGTCTGCATGATATATCTTTTTTCATCCTCTTACTTTAAACCACTATCTCATTATATTTGAATTAACATTCTTACAGACAATGCAGGGTTGGGCCATTTCTAAAAATCACTCAGGAGATTTCTTACTTGCTGCATTGAGATCATTTACATTTAATGTAATTCTTGGTATGTTACAATTTAGTTTGCCTTTTCATTTGATTTCTGATTAGGTCCAGTGTTTTTATTTCATCGCTCTTCCTTTTCCTGCTTTCTTTTAAGCTATTTGAACATTTTAAATATTAAATTTTAATTTATCTATTGTGGGTTTTTTTTTTTTTTACCACATCTCTTTGTATAATTTTTTTAAGTGGTTGCTTTTGGAGTTATAAAATACTTAACCTTTCAGAATCAACTTATGACAATATTTTACCACTTCAAATGGAACATAAAAGCCTTACTACCATATAGGTTCCTTTGCTCTCCCCCATCTTATGTTCCAGCTGTCTTATATGTTACATCTACATACATTGAAAACCCCATCAATACAATATTATATGTATTTTTTGTTTTCTACTATTAAACAGCTTTTAAAGAAAGATAACATCCTGTTGTATTTACCATTTTTGTTGCTCTTCCTTCATTCCTGATGTTCCAGGTTTCCTTCTGGTATTATTTGCTTTCTCTCTGAAGAGAAAGTAAATTTTTTATAGCCGCTCTGCTTCTATTAGTTTTCATTCATCTGAGAATATGTTTATTTCACCTTCATTCCTAAATAATATTTTGAAACCATGATATCATTTCTGAATGGTATCTTCTAGGTATGTAACTCTAGTTTGGTAGTTCATTTCATTTAGCATCTTAAAATCTTCTGGCCTCAGTAGCTTCAGATGAGAAATTCACAATAATGCAAGTTATTTTTACCCTATAGGTAATATATCATTTTTTTTCCTGCTCACATGCAACATCCATCAGCAAGTTTGATTTTGATGAGTTTGGATATGGATTTCTTTAGGTTTAACCTTGTTTGGGATATATTGTTTCTTGAATCTGTAGATTTATTTCTTTCAGTACATTTTGGAATAGTTTTAGTTATGATTTCTTCAAATACTTTTTCATTCATTTATTCTCTGTCCTCTCATTCTGGAACTCCAATGACACAAACCTTTTGTTATTGTCTCATAGGTCCCTGAGGTGCTATTCATTTGTGTTCTCAATCTTTTTTTTTTTTTTCCGATCTCTGCTGCTGAGATTGGATAATTTCTATTGCTCTATCTTCAAGTTCACTGACTCATTCCTTTTATTGTCTCCATTCTGCTATTGAGTCCATCCAGTGAGGACTTTAAATTTTTGGTTATTGTTTTTAGTTAGAAAATTCTCATTTGATTCTTCTTTGATATATTCTCCTTTTTTACTGATACATTCTATTGTAATACTTGTTTCAAGAGTGTGATTGTTTTTAGCATTTTTATAATAGCACTTTGAAGTCTTTGTCAGATAATTCCAACATGTGTCATTTTATTTATTGTCCTCTGTTGATTGTTTTTTTTTTATGTCAGCTGAGATTTTATGGTTGCTTTTGCCAAGTAATTTTGAATTGTATCCTGGTCATTTAAAATATTGCATTTTAAGACCCTGTCTTGTTAAATACTACAGAGAATATTGATATTTTTGTTTTAGCAAGCAATCGTGCTGATTAGGTTCAGGATGCAGGTTGGAATTGTAATTTCAGTGTCATATTTGTTTCACAGGTTTTGCAGTGCTATGTGCATCTGTCTGGTGTGTCCCTCCCCAGGGGTCAGTCTGGGATGTGAACAGGGATACATTTGTTACCTCAGTTCTTCAATTCTGTGGCATGCTATTGGGATCGGTTCCATACATACACAGGTTGGGCGTGGGGCCAGGAGTTCATAAACAGTTTTATGGAGTAACCTTACTAAGCTCTTCTTGATTCATTCTCTCCCCAGTACTTTCTGGTTCCCTGGGTTTCCCATTTTCTGTCTGGCCTAAAACTGCCTAGTTCCATGATTATGCAACATCCAGGCCAAACACTAGGAGAACAGAGAAAGAATAGAGTTCTGGCTTCAGGCTCCTCTTGCTGGCTACTGTTGCTGCCACCTCTGTCCCCACTACCACTGCTGCCATCACAGAATGGCCTGGGACACAAGAGGAGGGAGAAAAAAGAGCAAAACAATCTTGAGGGGGTTTCATCTACTCTCTAGGGTTTGGGGGATTTCCCTTCTCAAGCTGGGTTTCTCCTACTGCTTTTGGGGTTTGGGTTTGTTGCGTCCAGGCTGAGAAAGAAGTGGTAAACTCACTGCCAGTTCAGTGGTGCTTCGAATTCAGTGTTGTCTCCTATTTACCTGTTGCTGTTTGCTTTTCAGTGTTCTCAAATAGCTGCGCTGTGGATTTGCATCCAAAGGGAGAGAAAGAGTGTCATGTGTTTTCTCTGTCTTACTCAGAACTGGAACCTCTGGTTGATATAATTTAAAATTTTTATTTTTGAATTAACTCATCCTTATATACAGAACAACAGCTGATGTTATTAATAAGAATCACGTAAATGGCCAAACCACATAGTTTTCAGTTGGCTTTGTTTATGTCTACGTTTATGTCAGCTACACATGATACTATTTTGGTATCTTCCTTTGATCACATAACTGTCACTGTAGATTTCTATTTGCACCTTCTAACCAGCCTTGTGGACGAAAGTTGTCTTCTGATTTATTTGCAACTTGTGGGTGATTTCCTGGGAGCACAGCCTCTGCACACCATCTCATGGCAGGGCTGCTCAGGGGCAGTGAGTCTGGATGTAGTCAGCTGACCTGTTTGATGCAGTTCTGAGAAAAATGAGGTGGGAATCCTCACTGAAGACCCTGATGTTGAGTGTACCTTCAGTGTAAGTTTATGCATACTTCAGACATAATTGAACTACAGCTGACATTTTTAAGCAATAGTCTTTTGAACACATCAAGTTGGATGCAGTTTCAGAACAAATTGACATGCAGCTCTTCCGAGTTGCAAATCTTTGCAGAAATCACACCTGATGCAGTTGAACTGCCAGCTGTTCTCTGGCATACTCAGGAAGTGGGAGAGGATCTCAGTGGAGGTGCAAATGCATTCGTATATAATTCAGAGTTCATGTTAATGTTGAGTTACCCCTGTGACCTATCATGAGTGATTGGTTAAAAAATGTTGAGCCTCTTAACTAAGGAGACAATAATCCAGCCTTGGTTGCTGTGATCAAAGTCAGCTGAAGCCATCCTGGTTCCAACCTCATGGTGGGGAATCCGGCTCCATGTGGACTCCTGTAGCACTTGGTTACCTCATAAATAAAACATGATATATACTTACCTTGTAAGGTAGGCTGTTGAGAAGATTAAATGAGAAAACATATAGGAAACACCCTTCTGAAATGTAAAGTGCCATACAAGTGTTTATTACAAGAAATTTTAAACTAACAAAGATAACAATAGGAGGCGATGGTAAATTAAGAGAAGCAAGTCTAATAGTAGAATCAAAGCCTTCTCTTCTCTGCCTTTCAGGACATGGACTCATTTTATAGAGGGACTGAATTATAAGGTCTCTGGGTGCCAGAGCTGGATAAATCCCCACCTGAGCCTATTCTAGCCCTGAGAGTTTATGATTCTGCAAATAGGTGCTACAGAGTCAGGCATACCCAAGTGTTTTTCTCACAGGACTGTGGCGATTAGCATGGGCACACTTCCTGGGGTTTAGTTATTAATGCCTCTCTCCCAGGTCCCCAGGCACCTTCTTGGCATCCTTCTGTCCATATGAAAGAGATCATGTTGGGCTCAGAGCCCCAAAAACAGATTTCTAGTTGCTATCCAGGCCTCCTGAGTCCCAGCACAGAAAACGTAGTTTTCCTTTAATTGGAAAGTTCAGGTTCCCAGTCACAAACCCTCCTGAGAGAGCTGCAGGAGGCATCCTGCCCTGAACTGGCCGCCTCCTGCCCCAGTGGACTGCCTTGTCCCTCCCCCAAGGACCACCAGTGTCCTGCCTCTTTCCCCTTGGTCAGCAGTACTCTGTGGGGGAGGTTAGGCATGGGGGTTACAGACAAGCCCAGGGGACACCCTCCCCAGTGCCTTAGGCAGCCACAGCACCATGCAGGCCTGATACTCAGGGTGCCCATCTAACAGGGCATGAATCAGGATGGGTCAGCTGACCACTGTCTTCTCCCTCCTGCCCTTGCAGATCACCTCCAATGAGAAGCACTTGGAGAGCCTCAAGAATGCGGGCAGCCTCCTGCAGGCTCTGGAGCAGCTGGCCCCCAGGAGTAGGTAAGTGGGGCCGGGAGGATCAGCAGAGTCTGCTCCGGATCAGCACACACTCTCAGCCATTCCTTTCTTCACTCCCGCCGCTCATCTCCCTCCACACCAGGGACCACCACCTTCCAGCCCATCACTGTCCACTGAGATCCTTCCCACTGTGGGAGGGGAAGCTCTACCACTCCACCCACCGGGAATCCCCAGTTATGGTGGGGAAGGTGGGGGCACAGGAATCCACAGGGGGAGAGAAAGTCTTAGTCATGCCAGGGGCAACAATATTCCCACCTGACGCACCCAAGGAGGTTGAGTGGATGACCAAGTGGGAGATATAAGGAACCTCATGAGAAAGGCAGCCCCTGGCCTGTGCACACATGCCCCCATCAGCAGCCCAGGCAGAGGCATCCTCATCACCACCTTGTGGAGGACTCAAGGCCCAGGCAGGGCTGGGGCAAACGTGACAGCTTAGCCTGCTCTGCCACACCAGGCTACCTTCCTCAGCCAGAAGTTCCAAGGGACCACATACAACTGCGTATTTGACACCCAGAAGCTGACAGCATGGGGTTAGGCCAGCCTCCCAGTCCTTGGCTGTACCGTCAGTGTGTCTAGAACATCCTAGCAGTGAGTTCCACAGACAGGGGATAGGCCTATCACCCAGGAGCATGTTACATGCTGTAGAAGCAGAAGGAGCCGGCATCCCAGCCAGCCCCACAGAGACGCTGATGCTCAGTGGAGCATGTCCCCACCGTGGGGAGAAGGACTCGCCTCCTGTGGGGTGCCTGACCTTCACTGGACCTGGAATGCTGTCTGCCATTTCCTGGTAGATTCTGTTTTTAGAACTACATGTTTCTATGAAGTCTGCTTCCTGGTGTGCTTTGGGTTTGTTACTAATCTGAAGAAAAATAAGTGGCTGAAGCATTGCTAAGAAGGTGAATTTGCAGAGAAGGTTCAATTCCAATCAGCCTTTTGCATTTAATCCTGGATAGGTGAGAGGGGAGGACACCATCCTTTTTAGCCTAACCCTACCCCTTTTGTCTTCAGCATAAACCATAGAAGTAAGTTCTTATTCATGGTTTTCTGTGAGGTGAGGGGCAGGAGAGACTGACTTTGCTGCAAGAAGCCCCTTCACACCTTGCTGAGCCCCTGCCATGTAAGGTGTGAACAGTGACTCCCTGGACTGGCCTATAAGCCTCTTGTAAGACCGTTTTGAGGAGCACATGCCATCGGATCCTGACCTTGTGCAAAATGCCATTATGAAGCCAGCTACACAGATTTATGCTGAGGGCACAGAGAAAGCCACAGAGGAGTGGAGTTTGACAGACAGCTCTGGAGAGCCCCTTCGCTCTAGGCACCTGCACTATGGGACTCCTCATAGTAGGGACCTACAACTGCCTTTTAGCCAAAAATAGCACATCCTCATGCTGGACCCAAATTTGGACCAAATGTGTCAAAACAAGGTTCAGTGGTCCATGAGGCTGGTGGTCTGTCCTGTACCCACACCCAGTACTCCAGCATCTCAAACGTCTACACCAGACAGATCTTGTGTTGGGCAGGGAAGTTGCTCCTGCACAGTTCTTGTTTGGACTTTGTTCAGATGGCCTAACCAGAAAGGGTTTTCTTGTCAACCAAGAACGAGTGGATGGCATTCTCAGTTCCGATGCTGCTCTGCCAGTCGTTTCTGTGCTTTCCAGCCTCACTGGGCCTGCTGTGTGCGGGTGGGCAGCATGGCCCCACCAGTCTAGCCTAGACTCAGCCAGGGGCGGGCCAAGTTCAAACGCATTCCTTCTGTCACACAGGGGCTTTGATGCACAGAGCAGGAATGCATGGCACGGTCTCCTGGTCACAGCCCCATCCCACTGCCACCCACATCTTTCATGCAGCGCCCCCACCCATTTATTTGGTACCAGCTCTATTTCTGTGCAGTCAAGAGTGTGCCACGAGCTAATTTTACACTTCAAGGGTCACTGGTTTCAGTCTTTTCTTTGCTAACAGTTGTTAAACATAGGTTTAAATGTGTCTCAAACAATTTGCTCCAGTAACAAAGTTCCCATTTTAAGCTCTTAATTGCACATTCACACCTCTAAGAGTAAGAAAGCTCCTGGCTGATTGGCTGGAAAGGGCAATGGAGCAGGGAGGGTCAGTGTGTGGAGTGGGTCTGGGACACATGAGTCAGCTCCAGGCAGGAGCCGGGCAGGCCCACTGAGGGCCCCAGGCCTGGTAGAGTCTGGCTGCCTACAGCTCAGTGGCAGTGTTTCTGGCAGAGGTGGCTCAGATAGTGACTGGTGGCTGGGGCTGGGAGCTCAGAAATAGCTCTTTCAAAGAGGATGCTGCAGCTGGTCCATCAGATACTTGGGTACAAAAGGGATTGGCCCCTTGCATTTTACCTTAAAGATGCCTATTAAGTGTACCTACTTTGGTTTTTCTTACAGTTCATTTGCTGACAGCATGGTGGCTCCCTTGGCCCTGGAAATCCTCCAAGCTGTTGGACACTAGGCAAGAAAGTGCTTCGCACAAGCCCACCCTGTGACCCCAGCCCTCGGATGCACAAGCGAGGTCAGCTCCCAGACATCTTTGCCACATCCCCTCACAGCTGTATTTGGACCTAATAAAGTCACCTGAACGCAGAACCTGGTGGCCCAAGTGCTCACTAACCCCAGGGCCTAGAAAACTGACTCAGAATGGACTTCCTCGGTTCCTGTGGAATGCATCTGGGAAGCCCAGGGTTGTTAGCTGTTCTCAGGAATGTCCTTTCCCTCTCTGTGTGGGCCAGGTGGGCTAAGGTTAGCACTGCCTGTGGTAGTAAAGCAGTGGATGCGAAGCACAGTCCTCAGCCTGCCAGCATCTGTGAGCATCTCTCCTCTCCTCAGGGAAGAGCAGAAGGGCGGACCAGGCAGGAATGCTCTCCCAGCCTCAGCTCCAGAGCAAGCCTTTGGAAGCTAATCTCTGAGCCTCTTGTCTTCTCCCCTTTTACATGCCTGGCTTTTGTTCATTTCAGGAGCAAACTGATTCCAAGAATCCTGGGGAGAACTAGGTAAGACTCACTGACCAGCACAGATAGTGAAAAGTTTGCCTAAAGGAATGCAAAATACTCAAGAACACTGGCTTCCTTGAAGGTTTTCCCATCTAGATGGGATGATGGCATCAGGGTCGAATCATTTCCCCCAACTTCTGCCACTTGATCCCATATCTGCCTCATGTTCCCTCTCACGTATACCTTAGAACCTCCTGTGTAAGAGTCAGTCAAGCCCATGGCAATACTTGGTGGATACTGTGGAAGTATGTTGGGACTGCTGTACTGGGCAGGCTTACTTCTGAATCTGGTGGGCCCTGGGCAGCTCCGACCAGATGGGTAAGTTGAGGTAATGCCTTGGCCTTTCTGGGGCCTCATTTTCCCCATCTGCAAAATGAAAAGGCTACACTGAATCAGTGGCTGCCAAGCCTTTTCCCAGCTCCAGTGCTCTGGTGCTGCTGCTTAGGGGATTTGCCTTCTAACACTGCCCAGATGGATTCTGTCCCAGGCAGTGGCCATGTTGGCCCACAGTTGGCCCCATCTACTGCATCTCAGGAAGCTGGTCATGCTGTCATCAACAGCCCCTCTGACACAGTAATCTGGGTAGTTCGACAGTTTCCATTTGACATTACCTTTGATGCACTTGTGCACAGAACTGTTGTTTTCATTGTAAAGCATTTCATTGCAGCCCAGCTAGAAGCATCCTCATCAGCACCTCATTACTTAATGAGGTTCTCGGGTCAGTTCTGTGAACACAGGACAGACATCATCCCTGTGTTATAGTTCAGATATGGTTTCATTGCTTTACAATGAAAACAGTTCTCTGCACAACTGCATCAAAGGGAATGTCAATTACCTTATGTAATCCCCACCACAACCTGCAAAGCAAGCCGCCTTAGTTTCATTTCATTGATGAGAAGACAGACTCAGAGGAGCCGTTTTCACTTGCCCAAGGCCCCACAGCTTGGCTGAACCCAGGACTCTGACTCCATACCCTGTGTTCATCCCCTAATGGGGTGCACAAAGCTTGGGCTGTGACTAATTGGGATATGAGAGTGTGCCCTCTAAGAGCATGACCCAGGAACAGGCAGCTTCATTTGACCTCACATAGCCTACTTATTGCCCATGGTGGGGAGGCTTCACTATTTAAGTCCTCCTGGGCCGTGTGCTCATCTCCAGCTGTGTGTGCCCATGTGGCCCTGGCCTGGCTGGTTTTGCCTGCATTTCTGGGAGTGAGTGGGGAGTACTTGATGGAGCAGCCAGAGGCTTGGTTCTCAGCTCCAGTGGCTTTGCCTGCTGGATACAGGAACAGGCTCAGGTTTGTTTTCTTTGCCATCTCCCTTTAGTTCTTAGGTGGGAGAACGCCTGTGGAGTTCTGGGTCTGGAGTCCTCTCAAGGTATTTCAGAGCAATGGAAGATTCTTCTTCCTTCTTTCCCCTTTTCACTTGAGCAAGGAGGAGCCTTTGCTGTTTAACAGAGAAGAGGAAACTCTTTCTATTCCAGAGCCATTTTGTTCAGTGGACCACTCCTGGCCCTGGGCCCCAGTGTTGCCTATCTGGGGAAGAGCTTATCTGGATCAGCAAGGACAAGGAGATGATGGTCCCAAGCAGAGCTCACTGCCCTGCCAAATATGCTGGGTCACTAAAGTTAGTCCATGCCAAGCCTTGTACCCTGGTGAGGCTGTGTCCTGGAAGAAAGGTGCCTATGGAAAGCAGCAGCCTAGGTCCCTTTGACTTCAGAGGTAGGGGATATGAGCAGCCTGGTTGGGCAGAGGGCAGCTTGTAGTAGTAACCCTTCCCTGCCCTCCCCAGGCCTGTACCTTAGTATTTGGCATGCCTAAGTGGCTCCATTCTGAGAGCAGAGCTGGCCCCTCAGCTCTTAGGATTCTGGCAGTGGCAAGGGGCCCACCCCTCCTAGCCCTCTCCTTCCCTCCATCCCCAAGCGTCAGCTATTTGCCATTTAGCTACAATCCACTGACTGTCTTCAGGGATGAATGGTGTCACTGAAGTCACAGAGGTGAGAGGCAAAGGAGGTGACAAGCAATAGGGCACAGAGGCGGCTCAGGTGAGTGGCTGCACACAGGACTATTCCTCCCCCTCCACTAACAGCAGGCCCAAAGTTCCAAGACCTTGCCTGAACTTACAGCCGAGTGTGCATCCCCATTAAGCTGTCCCTCTGTGAAGCATCGTTTGGGGTAACTGTGGTCACAGGTGCCTAGAAAGGTGCTGATAATCACTCGTGGCACCTGAGTCAGTGAAATGCAGCAACAGAATTTACTCTTATGGTTCTTTGCAGTTTATCTTTTCAAGTTTCTCCTGTTAGCTAATGAGGTTCTCAGGTCGGTTCTGTGAACACAGGGCAGCCATCATCCCTGTGTTATAGTTGAGAAAATGGGGGCTCTGGTAGCTAAGGCTCTTGTACAAGGTGATGGGAGAGGAATCTCCCTCACCAGGTCTCTCCTGTCTCCACCTGAAGCAAGATGCCCTTTTTCTTTCCCCTGGCAACAGAAAAATGCAATGTGGAATATAATCTTATACACACAGGGGCTACGGTAGCAAGTGGTATGGCTACAAGAAAGCTACAAGAGGCTTGGCCTCCTGGGAGAGCTGTCTGGAGTGGGGTTGGGGGAGACTAGGCAAAGCTGGGCCTAGAATGAGGAGCTTTAAACTGGCCCTTAAAGTCCAGCCTCTGGCCTCTCCCATCAGAGGCTTGATGTTGAGGCGGTGGACAAATGCATTGTTTTAATGATTACATTTGAATGGTAATATCCAATCCAGAAGCCTGGCACCAATGAAGCCTGGTGAAAACACCCAAAAGATAGACAGCAGAGTCTCTCCCTCACACTATGTTAGTCCTCTCCCTATCTCCTCCTACAAGGTGCCCATTGTCACCAGGGTCTTTGTGTGCATCCAGGGATGGTCTATGCATGTCTTCAGATTCTGCACCCACCTTTTTACCCATACGTGAGCAGCTGTCAACTCTGCTCCTTGCTTTTTCTCCTAATAATGTATTTTGAAGACCATTTTATACCAAAACACAGCTTTATGTGCCGTTTTTTCCCCCTTTTGACTGCAGTGGTCCACCAAATAGATGCATCGAAATTTGCTTAACTAGTTAGGTTCCCTTTTGATAGCTATTTGGGTTGCTATCTCTGATAGCACTGCAATGAATTCCTTGTACATACTTGGGAGTATACCTCAAATAATTCTGAGTAGAACTGCTTTGTCACAGAGTGGCTCTCAGTCGTACCTAACATGGAAATAACATTTATGGACACACGGACCTTTCCCCATTCATGCCCAAACCTACTTTGGAAATACATAGGGGTGGAGTTTCTCCTTTGCCTTCCTGCATACCCCTATACCTGTTATGACCTTCCCCCACAAGCTGAACTCTGAAACTTGTCACTTCCTTCTATGTTTACTGGAGTCTCAAGTGGTGGAATGGATACTATACAAAATTCCACACAGGAGGCCGTGATATCATAATTTCACTTCGGTGGGTATCTGCTCAAGGCAAGGCAAGGCAGGTTCTCACTTAATAGAACTGCAGATCAATTTAGCATTCTTTGCTTTATAAACAAAACAGCACAATTCACATCTTTTTATTATAGCAACCAAGAGTTAGAGTGTATTTATCTTAAGATCTTTCATTATTAAGGATTCAGATCATCAGATTTCAAAGCTTCATGTCTGTAAGATCTGCCCCAACATAGAAAAGCTTCCTTCTTTTGGTTCAATGGTGGTTGCTGCAATGTGATCAAATGTCTTAACTCTCAAGGCTGTCTCACTAACTACAGCACAACTGAAAAAAGAAAACTTACACTGGAAAGCCCTCCTATTCTCAACGGCCACGTTCACTTTGTCATTTTCACCTCCTGTACCCAAAAATACAAGTGGGCAGCATTTCATTTAGGCCTTTTCCTCCCCACCACTATTTCTCGTATTGAAAACTTGACTTCACTTTCTTCACCACCATTTACAGGAAAGGTTAGGCACCTTGCCAGCATCCTGTGCACCTCCCTCTCCAGGTAACCATTATTCTGATTTCTAGTCAACTAATCATCTCGTCGCTCCATCCGCGGATATTTTCCTTAAAATAGCTTGTCCCTTTTTTGAATCAATGAAGATCAATGGAGTTCTAAAGCATGCATCTGTGACTTTTGTTCAGTATTATGTGAAATATATGCATACTATACTGATACCCACATCACCAAAGCTGTAGTTTTTCACTCCAGTGTCTCTTGTGTGAACAGAGATTGTTGGACACATGGGCATCCAGGATAGACTGTCAACATTGTGGCCCACCAAGCCTTACTGACGCTTGAGGCAAAAGAAACAATCAGTAATACTGCCTTTATTTAAAATCTTGATATTTTGTTGGGTCATGGATGTTTTTCTATATTTTTTATTCCAATGGCTGTTTCACACCTTTATGAAAAAGTCCCTCTCCTCCCACACTGATCTCCAACGCTGTCTCTGAAGAGTCTTCAAATGCCTGTTATTCTATCCCTATTCCTGTAACAGGGTTAACTAACTTTAGCTTTATATTAGTTAGGCCTTGACAGCTGCTAGAGCAAATACTCCTATTTTTCCTAAGCGTCTTGGCTATTATTCACCCTTGGTATTTCCAGAACCACCTTGCTGAACTGGATCAACTCTCACATTGTTTTTAAACTTCAAAAATACAATGAATTAGCAAAGCTCTGAAAACGTTTTCTGGTTTTAAAAAGTTCTGTAAGTGAAACACCCTGCGGTGGCTCTTTATGTTGAAAGCTGAATTCACTGAAGATCTTCACAGTGTTAACCTACCAATAGCCCTAGGCTTCTTGAAATACTGGCTGGTTTGGTTTATCACACATGAGACAGAACCTGAGACCTACCACCTCATCAGCTATGTGACTGTTTCTTTTCAAACCCTAATTACATTTTAGACCACAATGAAGAATTTATTTTTGCAAAGCAAGGGCATTCACAAAAAGGCCTCCCCAGATGAAGCTGATTTTTCATGAAAAAGAACTGAATGTATGTTTTTCTCGTAATAGTCACTATCAAAATAAAAACAGTAAATCAGAAACAGCTCTCCCTAAAGACAAAACACTTTCACTTTTTATAAGAAGACCAAAACAAGTCTTAACAGGTCTACCTGAAGAGATGAACTAAGCTTGTAAGACCTACCACCAGGATGATAGGATCATCTGGCAGATAGATAGTGTGGAAGGCTCATTCTGGTTCTGATTATGTTCAGATAAACATCAACACTTAAACCTATTTAATTATTAGTTCAAAGTAGAGTTGAAGGAATTCCCCTCTCCCAATGAGTCACACTTGTGTGAAGGTGATTCAAATCCAAATCCAGGTAGTTAATATTTCATTACCTTAATGGAATCAAACCATCTGGGAGATTGGGGTAGAGAGAGATAGAGAGTCTGCTTGGCTTTCTCCCACAAAAGCCCAGAACTAATCACAATGTGCAAGGCTGAAACACGTTTTTGGGGGTGCAATGTAACCCAGGGCCAAATGCTGAAGAAACTTGGCAAATTGCATCTAGAGAAGTAAGGGCCTCTCTATCGCTATAACAAATTACTTCACTATGTATCTTCCTCAGTATAAAGTTGAGTTGGATAAACTTACCACCCTCACCATTTAATGACAAGAAAAAAAAGAGTGACACAATCGAATGAATTAAAAGTTTAATTCTGAACCATTTTTTATAACCGCATTTTCTCTTGAAGCATTGTATCACAGCAGGTTACAACAACTTTGGGATAAAAGGCAACTGGTAAACTGTCCAAAACAAGGTTCCAAATAACACCTCTTACTGATTTACCCTACCCATACATATCCCAAATAAAGTTTTTGATCAAAAACATGAAATAGATCCACCTGCTTATTTTAAGCATATTAAAAAGGAAACTAATTGGACCATTTTCTATTTGTCTATTTTATACAAAAAGGCTACACAATGTTACACTTTATTCAGATTACAATTATTAGAGTGATTATGAATTAGTGTTCTACACCATTACTCAATTCTTAAAAATTAGAAATTGCTGTAGCAGTATTCACTATAACTTAACACTACGAGAGACTTAAACTAACAGTTACTGCAAAAAAAAAAAAAAAAAAAAAATTAAAGAGCTACTTCAAAGCAAGCAAAGTCAGTACCATTACAGATATTTTAAAAAAAAAAAAATTTAACAAGCAAGGCTAGGGTTTGATAAATTCCATCTTGTGATCCATTCTTGTGCATTCTTCACTTCTTGAGTCACTCCCAAAATCCATTTGTATTGTTACTCCTCGACCAAAAAGGACCAGAACAAAAAGTTTACTTCAATTGTTCCCATAGGAAACTCAGCTTGGTTAGTGTGTCAGGCACTTTCTGAGATACCAGCCCACCCCTCGAGCCCTCTCAGCAACTCTACAGGCCAATCACAATGCAAGTTCAGACAATACAGCTGTATAAAGAGAGAAAGGCTGCTATTAATGTTTAAAACAGCAAATGTTACTCATTTGAGTATTAAGTTGCAAAAGCTGTGGCAAAAAACATTAAAAGTTAATAACTTCCACACATGATCACATAACAACCAGAAATCTGAGAACATTCTGATGTTCCAAGACATCTCCTTTCAAAGTATATACCTGTTTTTGTGGCAGATTTACAAATAGCCTAAATCACTCCCACCCTACCAACCAAGTCTTTCTGAAGTTCTGTAGGCAGAGTAAAAGTATTTTACCCAAACTGGCTTTTTAAAACTTCTTACCTAAAGGATGATTTACAGGTCAGTATCAAACCAGGCCAGCTGATTGCTATCACCTGGAGGCAGCCCATCCATGAGGTCCTGGGCATGCCCCAGATCTGGCAGCCCATCAACTGGATAGTCAGCACCAGGGTGGTGGCCACCCATCTCATGTTCCATCATGGGGTCCATACCCAAGGCATCCTGGCCATATCCACCAGAGTGAAAAGAACGATAGCTAGGATCTAGAGGAGTCAGGGTATCAACAAAATAGGCAAGAAGGAAGGCAAAAGAGAGAGGAGAGAAACAGACATAGACGTTAACACTGAGGTTAGGGCATCCAAAGTTCAGCAGCAAACTTGTCAGAAAACAATGCTTTCTAGCCTCTTCAACTTCTAGCTTTCTTTAGCCAAGTAATTACTCAGTGCCAGACCACCCATGAGACTACACAAATAACATCTGTTTCCATCAGAGAGGCACACCAGCAGGGCCTAGTCACATCATTAGTCTAACCCTGAACACACTGCATTTACCCCTGTCAGAGACTTGGGGTTCCCAAGGAGGAGAAGCAGGAATCTACTGTATGACCACCTAGGCAATGAGAACTCATGGGAAGGAGGATTAAGACAATAATGAGGTCTGGCAGGTGTAATCTATCTTGACAAAAAGTCCAAGTGACACCAACAAAAGTACTAAGGAAAGTTAAGGCACTATTTCAATGAAACCTCAACATATTTTATCTTAGGGTTGACATGTTATTTGTCACAGTAAGAATCTGCGCTTTAGTGGTTTCATAATTAGGTAGAAGCAGATGAGGTTATAAATGTAAGACAGTTATAATTGTTACTGGTCTACCCCATCCTCTATGTTCATTACCCAGATGTGAATTAGCTTTTCAAGAAAACCCTGATAATGCAACTATGTAAAAACCCACCCCAGATCTGAGCCTAGAGACAGGAGTTTTCCTGTCTTCCTTGGGTAGCTTGTAGACAAAAGGTATTATGAGTCCTCTGGCCAAAAAGAGAATAAAAAGCCAGGTAAACTGTAACATCCTACACTGCGGAGAGGCCTAGTAGTAGCATGTATTTGTTGGTGGTGTAATCCTACTGCTATTCATTGTGTGGCTCTGAATTCCCTGTGCTCCGTTAAAGATACTGTTGCTGACTGGAATTTAAGAACTGCTTTTAATTGAAGCCATTACTTTTCTGCCAACACTAGTTTCCCAGATGAGCAAACCAGCTCTTCTGATCAAGTTTTAGAACTTTAGCTTGATCTGGAGTTAATCGAGAAATATGAGACGCATACCATCCTGGCGATATCCAAGGGGTTCTCCCTGGGCACCAATATCAAGTCCAAGATCCGCAGTCTAGATAAACAGGCACAAGGCAAGAAAGAATAAAAAGCAAAATGAAAATTCTCAACTTTAAAGTACACTAATTTTTTTAAAGCATACTTTCAGATTACAAAGGAAACAAGTAACTCCAACATTACACAAATACTTAGAAAATGGAAGTTCTTCAAAACTCCACCCCTCAAAGATACATTTTTTTTCTCTTTGCACCTCACATTAAAAATACTCACTGACTTGATCTTTCAACAAATACATATTAAGCACCAACTATGTGCTGCCAGGCACTGTTCTACGTGCTAGAGATATAGCAGTTAAAAAAAAAAAAAAAAAAAAACAGGCAAAATGCCTACCCCCAAACAGGAGCTGCTGACAGGATGTGTTGTATGAAAGAAAAGTTTTAGCCTGAGCAGCTGGACAGACAAAGCTGACATCAAGACAGAGAAGACAGTCAAAACAGGTTTGTGGAAGGGGGTAGGTGGAGAAAGTTAAGGGCTCAAGTTGGAACATGTTAATAAGATGCCTATTAAAAACCCAAGTAACACACCACTCACTGGTAATTTGCTCTCTTTTTTTTTTTTTTGAGTTGGAGTCTGGCTCTGTTGCTGAGTGCAGTCTGTTAACTACTGGGTTCAAGCAATCCTCCTGTCCCAGCCTCCCCAGTAGCTAGGACTATAGGCATCCATCCCCATGCCCAGCTAATTTTTAAATTTTTTTGTAGAGATGGGGTTTCACTATGTTGCCCAGGCTGATCTTGAACTCCTGGCCTCAAGAGCTGCATCGTTTTAAACCTAATAATCTCTCTTTCCATTCACTCAACAAATATAATCCACCGTTATGACTGTGTACCATCAGTGATCACTACAGAGTGGATAAAATAAACTTCCAGGGTGGTTCTAGTTTTATTAGAAACAATGTTTCAAAGGACACCTGTACTGAGGACAAATACTGAAGACAAATTCATAGCAGAAAGTCAAATAGAAAAGTTTTATTAAAGTTTAGTAAAAACTACTGACAAACTGTCCTCTAACTGTGTTTAACACTGCCTCTTTCCTTACATCCTTTTGAAAAATCATCTTTAATCTGGTAACATTTTTCATCTTTCTCCCTTATGAATTATAATTTTAAATAGCACAACTTATTTGTAATGATTCTGAACAGGCGCTTTAAAGTTTGTGTTATAGTTCTTCCTTAGGGCAGTTGCTGGACAGCATAAAGAAGAAATACTCAAGCCAGGGAAACATCAATGCAAATGAATGTATACTAAGTGTTTTGAGAGGAAAGAACAAGCTGCCTTATCCGCTCTAGGAAACTACCAGATAAATAACTGCTCACATTTCCCTACCTCATTCCAAGCCATTGGCTCCGTTCTGAAGAGAGAGCTGGTCAGCTCAACTGAAAGCCGTTTCTTGTAATCTTGTGGCTTGTCCTCAGACATTCGGAACAAAACAGCAGCTGCATACGTCGCTAAGAGACAAGGAAAAAAAGGCCCTTGAGGAAAAACTGAGACTTCAATGTACACATCTGCTAAAGGCTTTGGTTCCTTTTTACTTACCCACACCTTCATTCCTAGAGTGAAGTAACTCTGTCAGAGGAGCTGTGGCTCCCTCAGCTTCAATCGCTTCTGCAGCTTCCTTGTCCTGAGCAAGTTCACAGAGGACCCCTGCAGCTACTCTTTGGATGTTTTCAATGGGAGAATAAAGCAGCTAGGGAGAAAACACAAACAAAACCTAATTAAATCTAAAGCTAAAACATGACAAGCCCCCCACTGTGGTGCAAACATTCCGAATTCAGAGTGCAAGAGGCATTCACACTGTAGTAAATAATATTCTCTGAATTTTATGTCCTAGGGTGTTTAATACCCTAGAGCATTGGATTTCCAGAATACTTTTTAGCTATAAACCCTTTCTTCAGAGGCAACTCTAACTGATGTAAGATTTGGAAAATCCAGAATTGGTTGGGGGCCTATGTCCCGCCTCTGGCAGCCCAGGTCAGCTCTCCCCTCTAAAACTAGGCACTCGTAAAAGTGAAATGTGAAATCTCCTCCCTCTTCTCGAGTCTCAGTATTTCTCCTACTGACCAAAAAATGAAGGGAATTTTCATAAAATTAAATATTGGTGCCCCTATTATGGTCCCTAATTTTCTGAAATTTTATTAGTCATTACAATCCGGAAATTTTAGGGACATAAAACCTAGAACACTTAAAAGCAACATACCTGCACAAACAATGGAATGGTATTTAGTCCTCTGATTACAATTCGGTTGTGAACATCCCGAGCTAGGATGTGAAGGGCTCCAGTACAACCTTCAACTATTTCTTCCATGCGGACCCCCTCCTGCCAAAAGAAACATGGTTAACAAATAGGGCATTCTCCTCTGTAAAGTTTCTGAACTTGAAAGGCTTTGCATTCTGAGGAATAATTATTAGACTATAATTATTTACATTATATACCCGAAGTTCCCCATAACTTGCAATTAGTTTGGGAATGAAGGAGGATTCCATTAACTTGAATGTCACTGAAAAGAGGCCTCCTGGCAGCACTAATTCAAGGCAGCACCCCTTCCCCATACACAGTGCAACAGAGCTTCCACATAGCACTGAATCCCGAAGACAACTTTCCTACAGTAAGGGTACCAATCATTCTGAGTAAAAGGTATATAAAAAGAGAAGATGAGAAAGTAATGCTCAGACTATGTCAACGTTTTTCCTTTACATGCCCCCTCTATTTTTGTACATCTTCCATGTATTTGGTGAAAACTTTGCCAAGTTTTAGCACCAACTGCTAAAACTAACTGAGTTGCCAGCAGAAAAATCCACTCCTCACTCTTCCAAGACTATTCAGCTGACAGTCTCATGTATAGGAGAAGTTAGCTTTTGCAATATGTAAGTACCATCTGTTTCTCCTGTTTCTGGATTTGAGTTTTAAAAGGGGTTATGATTCTGCTACATTTAGCAGCTTTTATAAATAATTTGATTCTTGCAAGGACACAAAAACTCCTTTTTTCCTAGAAAAGAGATTTAAAATAAAAGATTCCCTCAACATTCTATTAAGTCACCTCATGGAGATGGGCCAATACCAACAGTAATAAATGAAGCAAGCCAAAGCCCCAGTATGAGTACATACACAAAGCAACCAGCAAAATGAGATTCCTAAAATCTGTTCTGGTAGGCTCCATCTTTGTTTTCTAAACTAACCTAATTAAATAAGGTCTTAAAGTCTGAGAAATCAGAAGTATCTTCAGACTATACTTTTAATGAAGCTACTTTTAAGACTCAAACTTTGTATCAAAGCTTCAGGTTGAGACTATTGTGGTTAAGAGTACAGAAATGCTACTACTAATTTTTGAAGTATGTCTATACTATATTCTTAGGTCCATGAAAAAAGTTTAACTCACAGAAAAGATAATAAAATGGACTGCTAATTATTTATTGTCAAAATTCATGATGAGGCAAGGGTAAGAAGCTCCGAAATTACACAGATTTGGTCTCAAATTATGACTCCACCTCTTCCTAAGTGGGCCTTTGTGTAAATTAAATGAGAACACTGCATGAAATGCCTAACCCAACCTTTGTAAGACTGACCATGTGAAGGACGTGTCCAAGGAAATATCACTGGGGCCACACTATGCCTTATCTTCTCTGCAGTCATATTTTGTCATCAGCTCTTCAGGAAAAGGGACGGGGAGAACAAATGACCAAAGAAGTTCAGATCTTTGGATCTATGCATTCCTTTTAGACAGCCAGGTATCACTATAACAATTTACCCACCACAAATTGCTGCTGTGTCCCACCCATGGACGTACGGCGCTGGGTATCCTGATGTGCACGAACAAGCAACTGAACTAGTCGTGGAATGGCACCCTGCTCACGCAAAGGTGCATGATTTGCTGGACAAAGGGCAAGATTTCGAATCAATCCAACAGTAGCCTGAAAAACAGAAGGAAGAATTGGCATACAACTCAACACAATCATTTTCTTAGCCTAAAATTCCCACCACACTAAATCTATTGGGAACAACTAAAAGTAGTTCTGACTACACAAACATTTCAGAATCCTACCCCTATCGCAGCCATACTTCCTACTTACTAAGGAATACAATTCCTATTTATTGATCACTATGCTTAGCCATCCAACGGCTAGAGATGCTTCATTTTCAATTCTGCAACAAAGGTAAACTCTACTTTGACAATTTACCTTTATCAGAGGCCAGTGGGATGGTGGGTGTAAGAGCTTAACCACAACTGGTAGTCCATAGTGAAGGCGAACTGCATTCTGGGCCATCTCTGCTTCTTGGTGTCGGCTGGTCAGATGACGAAGAGCACAGATGGCAGGCTCAGTGATGTCTTCCCTGTCACCAGCCCGAAGGACAGTACGCACAAGAGCCTCTATACCACCCACTTGGCAGACCATCATCTTGTTCTTATAATTATTGCAAGTGAGGTTAGAAAGAATTCCAGCTGCACAGGTGACCACATTTATATCATCTGAACCCAGAAGCTGAACAAGAGTCCCAAGGAGACCTTCCATCCCTTCCTATGAAGATAAAAACAAATGGTCAGTACAAGCACATACTCATCTTGACTCTATTCCCATGGCGTCAATTTACTCAGAATTTACCTGTTTAGTTGCAGCATCTGAAAGATTCCTGAGAGTCCAAAGACAGTTCTGAACAAGACGTTGACTTGGATCTGTCAGGTGAAGTCCTAAAGCTTGCATTCCACCTAGAAAATTAAAAAGGATGTAAGACCCTAGTCATTAGCTAGAAGTTCCTATCAATCCTAAATATATTTTCTAGTCTTAGAAGGTGTCCTCCTTTATTTCCACAGTTTACTTCCTTTCACCTAAGTATTTGTTTTCCTCTCATTTTCTAGAATGTTGCTCAGTTTCCCTCGTTTTGCCAGTTCACATCACTAGTGACAAATTGTCAAACAGCTACTGTTCCTTTCCTAAGCCGAAGAAGTCTTTGTTATCTCCACTATCCCCCTTAGGTAATATTTTTTTTTTTGAGACGGAGTCTCGCTCTGTCGCCCAGGCTGGAGTGCAGTGGCACAATCTTGGCTCACTGCAACCTCTGCCTCCCGGGTTCATGCCATTCTCCTGCCTCAGCCTCCCGAGCAACTGGGACTACAGGCGCCCGGCTAATTTTTTCTATTTTTTAGTAGAGACGGGGTTTCACCATGTTAGCCAGGATGGTCTCGATCACCTGACCTTGTGATCCGCCTGCCTTGGCCTCCCAAAGCGCTGAGATTACAGGCGTGAGAGCCACCACGCCCAGCGGTAATATTCTTATTAATTTCTTTTCATCCAATCATTTCAAAAATATTTATTCACTATCAGGTCCTGTTCTGAGCTGGAGATAGACCAGTGAGCAAAAATATTCAAAAGTTCCTACCCTCAGAACTTATGATGTAGTTGGAAGAAGCAGACAACAAATATACAATAAACTAAAACCATACAGTAGGTCAGATGATATTAAAGGGCTACGGAGAAAAACAATGGAGTGGGGCTGCAATTTTAAGTAATTAGGTCACCTCACTGTGAAGGTGACATCTGACTAAAGACCTAAAGAAGCTAGGTAAATTTCTGGGGTAAGAACAATCCAGAAAGTCGGCATGAAAACACTTTACTGCCAGGGACTTTATACAGTTCACTGACTGCAATACATGTGTTCCAAGGTTCACGACCTTCCATCCTTTAGGACCCTTAAATGGGGGACATTTACTCTGGCAAAGGAGTATAAATGGAAACCCAATGCCCACATACTAGATTAACTTCACCCCTCCATCTTCAACTTAAACCACTTCTAAATGCAGTAAGAGATACTTTTCCTTGTCTCCTTCATCTTTTAGGTCTGTTTTATTTCCTCAGATGAGGTCTATTTGCTGTAATTCTTATGGTACCCTGCACTTCTCCTTCATAGTATAAGTTAGTCCACTTTCCCTACAAGACAAAGATCACCTCTATTGGGTTCCTTTTTCATAGTAGCTCCAGCTACTAATAGAATGATCTGCATAAGATTGATACTCAGGATGCTCAGTATTTGTGAAATGACTACCTTCTTTCCCCTCATTAAGACTTCATTCCCTCCCTTTACATAACTATTAACTCTAAGAGAATGGATTTTAACCCCAGATGTCCATCAGAATGGCCTACAGAGACTTTAAAACACACACATTCTGTTTCAGCAGTTCTAGGGTAAAAAAAAAGTCCCATGCAGATGACTCTGTGGCATCTCTATCTCCCCTTCCCTGCTGCCCTTACCCCTATATACTAAAAGGGAAACGTCCAAATCTCTAGCCTGCCTCTCTTGCATTCTCTAGTACCTTACATTTCCAGCTACCTACTGACCTTTTAGTCACTTTAAGTCAGCTTCGTTTTTTGGTGTTTTTTTTTTGAGATGGTGTCGCTTAGGCTGGAGTGCAGTGGCGCGATCTTGGCTCACTGCAAGCTCCGCCTCCCGGGTTCACGCCATTCTCCTTCTCCTGCCTCAGCCTCCCCAGTAGCTGGGACTACAGGCGCCCACCACCATGACTGGCTAAATGGCTAATTTTTTGTATTTTTAGTAGAGACGAGGTTTCACCATGTTAGCCAGGATGCCTCGATCTGCTGACCTGGTGATCCACCTGCCTCAGCCTCCCAAAGTGCTGGGATTACAGGCGTGAGCCACCACGCCCGGCCTAAGTCAGCTTCTTAAATTATTATGTTCAAAAATTAAGGATGCCTTCTGAGGGTTCCATTTATCTTCATGGTACCAATACTGTCCCCTCCACAAACCATTTTTGGTTGCTCCCTTAGCTCCTATATTATTACATTCTGTGATTCTTTCAGACATCTCAGACATTTGCCCTTAGCTATTTAGTTCTAAAACCAAACTATTTCATTCCTAAAAGCCTATAACATCTCAGCAGTCTGGTCTTCTACCTTTTGGTCATTCAAACTGTTAATCTACACAATGCTATTATTAATATTTTAAACACACCACTGTGATGCTTTGCTATTGATCAACAACCATCAAAAGTGTCTCGGCATCCTTATTTTAAGATAGTAGACAATACTTTAGTATAACCCCGAGAAACCGTTTAGAATTTGGATCCCACCTAGCCTTCCAAACTGACCGAAGTATTCTGTATCTATGGCTCCAAAGCTGGAATAAAGCATGAATAAACTCCATGAGTAGTAAACATCTTATAGGAACCTAGAAAGTCCTGCATGTTATGGCTCTGCTTACCTAACCTCAACCTCATACCAGGCCATCCACCTCATTACTTACTAAGTTCTGTTTACATAGACCTTCTCTTCAGCACCTGGATCTCCACAATCTCTTTCCTTCTCAGGCAAGCTTGTCCAACCTGCAGCCCATGGGCCACATGGCCCAGGACAGCTCTGAATGTAGCCCAACACAAATTCGTACACTTTCTTAAAACATTATGAGATTCTTTTGCAATTTTTTGTTTGTTTGTTTTAGCTCATCAGCTATCATTAGTGCATTTGGTGTGTAGTCCAAGACAATTACTCTTCTTCCAATGTGGCCCAGGGGAGCCAAAAGACTGGATACCCCTGGTTCTAAAGACATAGCACATGGTGTTCCTTTTCTTTACCTGGAAAACATTTAACCCTCACTTCTCATACAGACAAGAGAAAGGTTCCTTCTCATCCTGCAGTCCCACTTATCCCCTTTTCAAGGAGACCCTTTCCCTCTCATCTAATTAGACAATTCCCCTCTCCATTAATTCTTATCACTATTTGCTGTTCACTTCTCCCATAACACTCATTCTAATTTATGATCACATATTTTTAAATACTTTTGTCACCTTCACAAGACTATAAAAACAAGCACTGTTGTGTTACCCAATGTATACCACGTGCCTATTCCATTTCTTAAAATACATTAGATGCTATGTTCAGAATAAACAAATGAATGTAAGAATAACCTGGAAGAAAAAATTCCTAGGCTTCCGGTCCCATACAAGTCCAGCTATCTACAGACCTCCCTGTCACTTCAAATAAACACTATGAGATCTTGATATAAAAACTAACACTCCAGGGATTCTGACTAAATAAATCTCAAAATCTGTATTTTTAGCCTACATTACAGGTTACTGCTGGAACAGCTGACAGAATTTACATCCCCTCATTCTGTATGAACTCAGCCACATTTGTCTATCCCCAAGCCTATGGCTCCACTGCCAGCAGTTACCTGGAGCAATCATAATGTCTTTCTCTCACAAAAAAATCCCAGGTAAAATTACTCTCAATAAGTGGGAAAAATAAGTGTTGCCAGCCCTATACTTTACTCCCAACATTTCCTTCCATTAAATGCCTTTATATTTTTCCCTCTTTCAATACTGATTTGAAGCTTGCTTTGAAATTCTGGGTAAATGTTGTTAGGCGGGTTACTGAAAGGAGAAAAAATGCTAGGTAGCTAAAGAGTATTTTCATGACACACACACACTCCAAGAGGCCCTAGTACAAACCATCTATTCTTTTCCCCAATTGCCAACATACACAAGATACAAAGTACCACATACAAATTGCCTCCTTAAAAATACTCAGAATAGAAAAAAATTGTTTCTCATACTTAGATGATATCTATTCACTGAGAATACAGAATATCAGGGCCAAACACTGGTCATAATCAGGCAAGAGAAAGAAAATGCATACAAATAGGAAGTCTGTTTGCAAACAATATGATTCTATACCTAGAAAACCCCATAATTTCTGCCCAAAAGCTCCTTGATCCAATAAACTTCAGCAAAGTTTCAGGATACAAAAATCAGTGTACAGAAGTCAGAAACATTTCTATACACTAACAACATCCAAGCTACAAGCCAAATCAAGAATGCAATCCCATTTACAAAAGCCACAAAAAGAATAAAATACCTAGGAATACAGCTAACCAGGGAGGTGAAAGATCTCTACAATAAGAATTACAAAACTCTGCTCAAAGAAATCAGAGATGACACCAACAAATGAAAAGACATTCTATTTCATGGATAGGAAGAATCAATATTGTTAAAATGGCCATACTGCCCAAAGCAATTCACAGATTCAGTGCTATTCCTATCAAACTACCAATGGCATTCTTCACAGAATTTAAAAAAAAAAAACTATTTAAAAATTCACATGAACCCAAAAAAGAGCCTGAATAGCCAAGGCAATCCTAGGCAATAAGAACAAAACTGGAGGAATCACTTTACCTAACTTCAAGCTATACTGTTAATACAAGGTTACAGTCACAGCATGGTACTGGTATAAAAACAGACACACAGACCAATAGAACAGAATAGTGAGCTCAGAAATAAGGCTGCACACCTAAGAGGTCAACAAAAACAAGCAATGGGGAAATGACTCCCTATTCAATAAATGGTGCTGAGATAACTCGCTAGCCACATCCAAGATTGAAACTGCACCCCATCCTTACATGATGTACAAGAATCAACTCAAAATGGATTAAAGACTTAAATATAAAACTTAAAACTGTAAAAACTCTGCCAAGATAACCTAAGAAATACCATTCGGGACATAAGACCTGTCAAAGATTTCATGACGAAGATGCCAAGAGAAACTGCAACAAAAACAAAAACTGACAAATGGGACAGTATAAAGAGCTTCTGCACAGCAAAAGAAAGCAACAGAGTAAACAGACAACCTACAGAATGGGAGAAAGTATTGGCAAACTATGCATCTGACAAAAGTCTAATATCCAGACTTTACAATAAACTTAAATTAACGAGCAAAAAACAAACAATTCCATTAAAAAGTGGGCAAAGGACATGAACACTTTTCAAAAGAAGACCTACAAGTGGCCAAGAATCATATGAAGAAAAGCTCAACATCACTGATCATTAGAGAAATGCAAATCAAAACCACAATGAGATACCGTCTCACACCAGTCAGAATGGCTACTAATAAAAAGTAAAACAATGACAGATGCTGGTGAGGTTGCTTAGAAAAGAGAATGCTTATACCCTGCTAGTGGGAAAGTAAATTAGTTCAGCCATTGTGGAAAGCAATTTGGTGATTTCTCAAAAAACTCAAGATACAATTACCATTCAACCCAGCAATCCTATTATTAGGTATATGCCCAAAGAAAAAGAAATCTTCTACCATAAAGACACATGCACGCATATGTTCACTGCAGCATTATTCACAATAGCAAAGATACGGAATTAACCTAAATGCCCATCAATGGTAGACTGGATAAAGAAAATGTGGTACGTATATACTATGGAATACTATGCAGCCATAAAAAAAAGACCAAGATGTCTTCCACAGCAACACGGATGGAGATGGAGGCCATTATCCTAAGCAAACTAACACAGGAACAGAAGACCAAATACCACATGTTCTCACTTATAAGTGGGAGGTAAACACTGAGTACCCCTGGGCATAAAGAAGGGAACAACAGACACTGGGGCCTACTTAAGGGTGGGAAGTAAAGAACTGAAAAAGTACCTATTGGGTACAATACTTACTGCCTGAGTGACAAAATAATCTGCACACCAAACCCCCGTGACATGCAATTTACCTATATAACAAGCCTGCACATTACCCCGTACCTAAAAGTTAAAACAAAACAAAAAAACTGCTCATGAGCATCTACTAATAAAGCAATCACTTTATTACATAAAACTGTACTGTATTAGAATTTGTCATTTCTCCTATAAATTCACAGGTCTGTTAGCAAATCTTAGGTTTACTCAAAACTGAAATTACAAACAAATTTTATTAAGCAAAATATATGCCATCATTGATGGATAATAAGAACTCTACCTAAACTAGCCTTAAATATTTAGCTACAATCCAGATGACAGGTACTTGAATGTAATCTTGGCTGCAAATTGAATAGGACCATCTATTTTCAGTCGTTAAAGTTCTACCACCTTTTCCTAAGAAAAGTAATCTAATTAGAACTGCAGATGCTGTACACAAGACTCAGAATAGATACATATACTTACCAGCTTCTACAATAGCTGGCTTATTACTAGAGCAGACGGATAGCACCTTCAGCACTCTGCTTGTGGTCCACAGTAGTTTCTCATAAGTATAGGTCCTCATTATATTTACTAAAGCTTGGGGTCCACCACTAGCCAGTATGATCAGCTAGAAAGATATATACGTATCTTGTTAGTCATGGAATCTTGATCACATGTCTGAGAAGAGCCATATTACCAACATATTTTATTATACAAGAATTTCAGCCAGCTTGTCATTGGACCTAAATGTATTCCTGGACCGCATCACTCTGACCCCCATACTGGGGCCCTATCCAACTTGTCCTTTTAAAGCATTCCACTCAAATTCAGACATCCCAGTCCTCCCAAGAATGTATCAGTTTTGGCCCAATTTCCTTCTTCCCATACTGATCATAGCAGAAGAAAAAAATTTAGAAACCATGTTGGTAGGCAAGATTAATGCCCTAAGATGAAAGTTATATCAAAACTGATTCACTGAAAATTTGAACCAGAACTGGCACTTAAAACTCCTTATCACTTGGCCCTTTAATTTTCCTAATTATATCCACCTTAAAAAGAGATACCATAAAATGATCATTCACTCTTGTCCTTTCATTCCCTGTGTATCTTCCCTTTCAACACTGCCCCAATTTTCTAAAAACAAATTTCATCATTTCATGCTTCTGCTGAAATTTCCCATTGTGCTTTTAAACATGCTGTACAAAGCCCTATGAGATCTGCTGAGTCTATCTCAATAGCCTCACCTCAAACCTTTCTTCCTCTTTACTGTTAGTATTTCTTAAATTCCCAAAACTTTCCATCTCCTTCCTTTGTTTCAAAGATGCTGTTTCTCACCTAACCTTCACCTAGTGAATCCCTTCTCATCCTTGAACATTGAACTCAACTATCACTTCCTCCAAGAGGTACCTCCTTGAACCCTCAAAAAGAGTCTGTTTCACTTGTGTTATGTGCTCTCATAGCCCCCACTTCTTCCCACTACATGAATTAAATAGTAGGTTATTATTCCCAACATCTACATCCCACCTAAGAACAAAAGTGTGAAGAGAAGCTTGCCTATGATATCCCTATTACTTCGCGTAGTGCTTTACATATGGAAACTCAAACATTTTAAAGAACAGAAATGAACTGGGCTGCACAGCAGGAGGTAAGTGGCAGGTGAGCGAGCATTACCTGGCTTGAGCTCTACCTCCTGTCAGATCAACTGCAGCATGAGAGCCTCATAGGAGCGGAAACCCTAGTGTGGACTGCACATGCGAGGGATCTAGGCTGCACGCTCCCTATGAGAATCTAATGCCTGACTATCTGAGGTGGAACAGTGTCATCCAGAAACCATTCCCACAACCCATTCATGGAAAAACTGTTTTCCACGAAACTGATCCCTGGTGCCAAAAAGGTTAGGAACACTGCATGGAATGACATGACACTGGAAGTGTCCGATGCTCCATGAAAACCACATAAAGAATTCTCCTCTTACCTTGCTTTCTTGGTTGCCATATGCTAAAATTTGAAGGCAGTCTGTCGTAATAGCCAAGAATTTAACATTTGTTTTGTTGAGCAAGGCAACCATTTTCTGTAGTCCGCCAGCTAAACGCACTGCCATTTTAGCTCCTTCTTGATGTAATAAAAGGTTGTGGAGAGTTGTAATGGCATAAAACAACACAGAATCCACTGGTGAACTGGGAAGAAGAAAAAAGCCTCATCAGAAATATTGTGACTATACTCTTCTACTTTTTAGCTTCAAGCATTCTGACAATGTTTTCTTACCCAAGCATTTTCACCAGGGCAGGAATGCCTCCAGACTTAAAGATGGCCAACAAGCCCTCCCGATGATGGGAAAGATTATGCAAGGTCCCAGCGGTACAACGAGCTGTTTCTACATCATTTGTATTCTGCATGGTACGTACAATAGCAGACACCATCTGAGGAGAGCGCATGATAGCATGTCTGGAAGCTTCCTTTTTAGAAAGCTGATGGACCATAACTGCAGCCTTATTAACCACCACCTATAATACAAGAATCAGAAACATCATTAGTTTTCAAGTCCTGGTAGTGGGTAGACATTCTGAACCTACTCCCCTTGAGCATTTACTTCAAAGCAGACTAAAAAGCTAGCCATGTCATTGCTCACCTGGTCCTCATCATTTAGCAGTTTTGTCAGTTCAGGGATTGCACGTGTGGCAAGTTCTGCATCATCTTGATAGTTAATCAAGTTTACAACTGCATGTTTCAGCATCTGTGATGGTTCAGCCAAACGCTGGACATTAGTGGGATGAGCAGCATCAAACTGTGTAGATGGGATCTGCATGCCCTCATCTAATGTCTCGGGGAACATAGCAGCTCGTACCCTCTGAGCTCGAGTCATTGCATACTGTCCATCAATATCTGGAAAAGGTTAATCAACACTCACTATCCACAGTTCAGCATTTACCTAAGTATTTGCTATCCTAAATGGTAAAAGTGACATTGCTATTACTCCCTTTTCTTCACCACAACATTTTATTTCAACTATTATACACTAACTTTTTAGTTCTCAAAACTGCATTCTGACTTTCAGTAAGGCAATGAAAAATACTCTTACCAGCTACTTGTTCTTGAGTGAAGGACTGAGAAAATCCCTGTTCCCACTCATACAGGACTTGGGAGGTATCCACATCCTCTTCCTCAGGATTGCCTTTACCACTCAGAGAAGGAGCTGTGGTAGTGGCACCAGAATGGATTCCAGAGTCCAGGTAAGACTGTTGCTGCCAGTGACTAACAGCCGCTTTTCTGTCTGGTTCCATGGCCATGTCCAACTCCATCAAATCAGCTATAAATATGAAACAGTATTAGCATTAGTAGATTGGAAATGTTACTTTAATTAAAAAAAAAAAAAGAATCTGTGATATGACCCATTGAAATATTTTTAGAAATAAAGTCAAATCTGAAAGACAGCCAAGAAAAGCAGAATGATAGCCAGGGTTAGCTCAGTGAGGAAATACCTAATCCCTTAGGGGACCACCTAACAGTTACTCACTGAATCAGTGGAAGAATGGTACTGCATCCAGGCTCCAGAAGCAGTCATCCAGACTAGATTCCTGCTGGTGGCTTGTTTGCTATTTCACCAAGCCATTAGGAGGAGTGAGCAGAAAATGGAGCAAAAGGTAGCCTGACAAGTAAGCAGGGAGAGAGGAAAGCAGGGGAATCTCAGCCAGACTGGCTTAATGGCAACGAAGCAGAGCCCCAATTCAGTAACTAAAGATTTATGACACAAACCTTGAGTAGCCATTGTCCACGCTGGATTTTCAAAACAGTTGTATGGTATACTTCAAATACCCTAAAAAAAGTTAATCAAAAGTCATTAGGATTTAAATTTAGCTTGATTAATACTCCTAAGTCACTGGGATGTCTGTTAAATGTCACTATTACACCCACAAAAAAAACCCCATATCCTCTTTTACCAGGTTATTTAGTGAAACACAAGACCTCATGGTCTCCTCCAGACACCTCAACCACAGCTCCATCACTGCTGAACTTCAGTGAAAACTCCTCCTTACCAAATACATCTTTTTATTAATAGTAGAAATATAAATTACAGATAATCAGGATGGTGATGAGAAAGCAAAGAGTTGTAATAATAAAAGCCAGGGAGGGGAAAACACTATTCAAAAATCAGCTGCTCTCTGAATTCCAAAAGGTCTCTCGTGTTTTTAACCTTTCACGGAAAAATTCACAGATCCCCTTTGGATAACAGAGGTACAGTGGGATTTTAAAAACTCCACATTTTCATTAACAAGTTAGTTGTTTTCTGATATAATACAGTGCCATCAAAAATTATTTTTCATAGAGCAAATTTTGGTGACTAGAATAGTGAATTTTAGATTTTTTAGTACAAAGAAAAATTACTTTTCAAATGAAAGTTTGCAACACAAAAGCACCTTTATTAGTAAAATTTTTCTAAGTTCAAATTTATAGCAATGATCTATTATAAATACAAATATCAATATGGATACATATTATTTTGATCAATATTTTAAAAATTAATATCATATACAAATCTTAGCATCTCATTTATGTCTGTATTTTGCCTTTATTGTGCAATATTCAGAAAAAAACACTGCATCACACAGGGAACTACCTGCAAATTTGAACAGTTCATGGCCTCTAGGTATTTCTAATAACAAAATTTCCTTTATTACAAAATCTGTCCCAAACAAGTTCATCTGGAACTATAAATAACATATTGGGTATGGAAAGATATGGATTAAATATTTAAGTGTGAACTATGTTTTCTTTTTTTTGAGACAAGAGTTTCGGTCTATTGCCAAACCAGGCTGGAGTGCAGAGGTGCACTCTCAGCTCACTGCAACCTCCGCCTTCCAGGTTCAAGTGATTTTCCTATCTCAGATGTGAGCCAATCGCCTGGCCTTAGTTTCTACCTTTTGACTGTCTTTAAAAGAGTGGCTATTTAACTACTTCACCACCTTTCTGAAAAATTGGTTCCCCACTCCAGCCTCCAACGTATTTCTGCAAAAGGAGACTCAAAACATGTTCTACACTGAGCTTCTCCTTTGGCCAATGTCAACAGACTCAGAAACCAACTGGTCATGTCTATAGACTATATCGCTATTTAAGAAGTGCTTTGATACATCCGGCTTCCAGGAACATCTTTTTTATAGTACTGTTTTTCTTTGTTGTTGATGCAAAGGCAAAACATTTACGCATATTACTGGGTAAACTCTGTGTGGGCTGACCTAGTAACTTGACCGCCAATTTATAACGATTTCATTTTTATAATGGAAAAAAGCATGTTCATGTTCCAAATTTACAATAGCCATTTGTACACTAGGACTTCCCAACATTACATATATATTTTTTAGCTTTTAAAATTTATGCAACGTAAGTAAAAATTCATCTTGCTCTTCACCGCAACCCTATGAGGTGAAGGAGGGTAAAAATCTATCGGCAGTTAGAGAAGTAAAAACGAAGGATAGAAATGGGGATCTAATTAGGTAACAGCATAGACTCACTCACCTTGTACCTGCTCTGGAGGCAGATCCAAATATGCCAAAAAACTGAGCATTAATCACTAAAGAAATCAAATAGACTGCCCAGCAAGAACTAAGGCAGAACACTGCTCCAGAAAGGAAAAGGTAAGCCTTCCTCTTTCTGTTTCTGGCCTGAGCCTTACGGGCTAAGGGCTGGCTCTCCTCCACCACACCCTGCCAACCATTAAGGGCCCAATTCTAGTGCTCCCAATTAGCCAAAACTTACCAATCACTTCAGGAACATTTTTTTTAAAGCAACAAAAAAACTGACTCCATAGAAAGTGAGATAAAATTTAAAACTAGGGGTACGGTGGAAAGAGAAACAGAACACTTCAATTTAGTATCTCCATAAAAGACTGGAGAGAAAAAATAAAAACAAAAAGTTGAATAGAAACTAAAAGTGAGAAAACTTCCTAGAGTACAAATAAATGACAAAGACAAAAAATACAAAAGAAGAAATCACGATCAATTCAGGAGATCAAAGGTCCAACTAGTAGGCATTTCAGAAAGAATTATGAAGAAACAAAAATGACAAAATCCACTAAATACCAATCAAGAGGGAGGAGTGCTTAAAAATTATGAAGTACAATCATGCACTGCATAATGACATTTCAGTCAAGATGGACTACATACGCTACAGTGGCCCCATAAGATTATAATTCTGTATTTTTACTGGATCTTTTCTATGTTTAGGTAAACAAGCCAGGCGAAGCGGCTTGTAATTCTAACACTCCAGGAGGCGGGTGGATTGCTGTAGCACAAGAGTTCCAAGACCAGCCTGGACAGCACAGCAAAATTCCATCTCTACAAAAAAATTTAAAAAATTAGCCAGGTGTGGTAGTATGTGCCTATGGTCCTAGCCACTGGGGAGGCTGAGGCAAGGAGGATCAGAGTTCAAGGTTAGAGTAAGCTATGATCACACCACCGTATCCAGCCTGGGCAACAGAGTAAGACCCTGTCTCTTAAAAGAAGAAATAATAAAAAAAAAAGGATACACAAATACCACTGTTTCAACTGCCTACAGTAACATGCTATACAGCTTTACACCTAGAAGCAACAGGCTATACCATATAGGCTAGGCATGCAGTACACTATGCCATCTAGGTTTGTATAAGTACTACACTAAATGTTTCAAGACACAGGTTATCATTAAACTACAGACTACATTAGAATGCTGTGTTTTCTGACAGCTTTATCACCACCAAGTGATGTTTTGACAAAGGGGGAGCTGGCCAACTTCTCATGTATCTTCCATCCAGTCTAATGCATCCATGCATCTTTTTTTGGCAATATGAACATAATACTCTTTCCAACTACAAACTTTATAAAGGATACTTCAAAATTCACCGTGCTATTTCTGATCTTAACCCTATAAATGTCTCCAGTCAAAGTCAAGGGGAGAAGTCTTGCCACAAATAATATACAATAGATTTCACACTAAAGTTATTTTTCGTTTTCCCATCAGGACAGAATTATCTTAATTACCTTAGTTTTCAGGAAGTTTGAGTATTATTAACTACGGGTAAATCTGCTACATAAAAATATAAAGCAGATATATTTTAAAATTACAGTTTTATACTAGCAATTCATAGTTCACTTTTCCAATAATCAAGATCCAAAGAATTATTCCCCGTTTTAAAGTTAGAAAGTGCTACTTTATTTCATAAGCAAGATAAACTTTTGATATCTCTTCAGGGATTTTTAAAAAGTTCATAGTAAAATCTGCAAATCTAAAAACACATGCATATGCATTTTCATTAACTGTCACCAGTAATACTTTGCCATCTAGAAAATGTATGCAGTTTCCTCAACTCTTCCTGTTTTAGCACATTTCACGCAACACTAACATTTTAAGTTACAACCCACTCCAGGTTCCTTTCTGCTTTCTTCTGTCACAGCTTTCTTTGGGGTGTGTGTGTGTGCCTGTATGTGTGTGTTCTCGAGGTGTCTTGTCATCCTAGAATGGTCAATAAGCATGAAACATCAAACGACCCTTCGTCCTCCAAACACTAAAATGTATGCCTTTGGTACTGTCTTTAAATAGGTACACAAATGGCTATTAGAAGTATGGAATCTTCTCAGGTAGGAAACAAGGTAAATGGAAAAAAAAAAAAAAAGAAATGGAATCTCTTTATGGCTGGGAAAAATTAGTATGTTTCCAGAATGAGATCTTCTTTTCTTCACAACTGTCTTCCTTCCTCAGCCATAAAGTAATATATGCCTAGTATAAATTAGTATTTATATTTATCATCTCCATCATGACTCCACCACACAGTAAATGATGACATTTTGGTATATTTGGAATGATATTAAACTCACTGCTACGTATTTTTAAAAATATAAAATCCCTTGTGAAGACTATTATAAAATATTATCATCTGGATTGTATTGTATGTCTATACTATAAGCTACCTCCTCCATTCTTAGCTTGTTCTTCCCCATTTTGTCATTATTCCAACAATGCCGCAATAAACACCTTGCATATAAATAATTCTCTTAATTTCCTGTATCACCAGAAGTTCTAGAAATAGTATTACTGAGTTAAAGGGTAAGAATTTTAAGTCCTTTCATGCATAGCTCCAAAATACTGACAGATCATAAACTGACATAATTTTCACAGAACGTACTGAACATGCTGCCATCTTACCAAGGGCTTGTCAGCATCAGCTGTTATCTGACACAACTTTTAATAGATACGTTCACACATCTAACATATATACCATCACCCACCCATCCCACAAGGTTTTAAATTCCAATAAGTTATATGCTTATTTATTTGCTACATATAATGTAGCCTTTTGGCTTGCCAGATTTTTGATGTCACTGCCATCCTTTATATTTTTGTGAAGTACTTGTATATATTATACATAAAAAGCCCCTTGAATAGTCATTGATATAGCACATTTAGGCCAACTGGATGTCTTAGAATATAATTTTACTGTTTAAAATCATTAGATTATGGTAACATCCTTTGCAGGTGTGATTTATTGTTAGTGTCACCAATGAGTAACTCCACACAGCATCTTTGATCGGTAACATCCTAAAATAAATAGTACTGGTACTCCAGGGAGGAAAAAAAAGACAATGTTTTAAAACAATCTTTCACTCCATCTCCAAGAACAAATTATCACAGAAAGCAGATTGTTTTTCTCCAACTGACATTAACATAAGCAGCCAAAAAGACTAATATGTTAAAGCACAGCTATCTCCTTTAAGATACATCCTGAATAGGCTTTACCTCACAGGCACATTTTCTAAGTAATTTTCACAGAACATACTGAATTTCCAA